TTGTTACAAACACCAGCTTAACCATTAGATGCTGACAAAGGTTTCTTCATTGGAAAATGTCTTCATGTAAGCATCTATTTTCTAGTAACACATTACATGGTCAAAGACCAGGTAAGAACAAATACAGGGAGATGAAAGCAGAAGGAACTAACAAAGGCAGGAAAAGATAGGAGAAGGAACTTAAGCATATTATCTGTTTAGGTAGGTGAAGCATTAAGTCAAAAGGGTATGACCTTCTGGCTGCTTCATTGGAACAAAGGGTATCAAGAGGTTATGAGGTTTGTGGGGGGGAAAGCACGGCAATTTGCTGCACGTGCATTTTTCCCGACTTGGCAACTGACTTTTTTTTTTATAAATATTTTATTAGGTTTTATATAGGTAAGGAAAAGATAGGGTCAATACGGGTATGAGGGGAATGGGAATAGGAATTTGGGGTAGGATAAGGGTAGGTACAATAATCGGGTAACCCCCCATAATAATCCCAAGCTTTAACAAACAAGCTACTTTCCGGATCTAAATATTAAATAAACATAATTTGTATAATACTAAACAATTATAAAGATAAAGTTAACTATAATCATATAACTAAAATTAGATAAGTAAAATTCCTCTAAATAAATATTCATACTTAATAACATATCAACTAATTCTAGTCATCACCATTAGTATTTAAAATCACTAATAATAAAACTATTATTTAAGAAATAACACTTAGTTAAGAATCTATCATTCTATTCAATTTTAAAATTCAATTCAATTTTAAGTTCTGATCGTATTCTAGCGTATTTCTAACCATCGATAAAATTTTCCCCAAGTTTTGAAATAAATTGAATCTTCTTTCTCCTTCATCTCCAAAGTTAATCTATCCATTTCTGCACAGTCCAAAATTTTTGAAATTATAGCCTGGTCAGATGGTAGATTTTAATTTTTCCAAAATTGGGCAAATACTATTCTTGCAGCTGTTAATACATGTAGTATTAGTCATTCTCTTTACCATAATTAGATCCTACTATTCCTAGCAAAAACAATTCTGGTTTAAGGCAACTGACTCTTATTTATGACGGATGCAGTGTCCCGGAATCATCTGATCACCTTTTGCGACCTTTTGACAAGCAAAGTGTCATGTGTCTGAGTAATGAAACACTTAAAAGGACTTTCAGGCATGTTTTCTCCTAAAAGCTTTTATTAATGTTAAAACACATCAGCACGGCATGGAGGAATGCTTAGAACTGCTCATCTTCCGGTACGCCTAGCATTCCAGACATTGCCACTCCCTTATTGTAGGGTCATGGTTCACATCTTCCAATCAACTTGAAAGATATGATTTACTTCCGGTTTCTTTCTCCCGGGCTATCCCTATGCTCCTCCCTCTCTCCTAGTTGCTGGTTTAACTATATATATACCAGACAGTTCTGCACATTGTCAAAGCAAGAATATACAGTATTTGCAGCGTTGACACAAAGCCAATGGGGAAACCAGATTCACTTAACCGTGTTACTAAATAACTGCAGTGATTCACTTAACAACTGTGGCAAGAAAGGTCGTAAAATGGGGCACAACTCACTTCAGAGCTCTCTTGCTTAGCAACAGAAATGTTGGGCTCAGTTGTGGTTGTAAGTCGAGGACTACATATGTAAGTTGTGCTGGAGAATTACTTTGGTAAGTTTCAAGATTCTTTTTTATTCAGTTCAATTTTCTTGAAATTTTTGCTGTGTTCAATTTACTTGACCACTAAGAAAGATTTTTCCAGAAACCAAAAGGGATCTGGTTTCCTGAGTTTGCCAGCCTCCCAAGGCTTGACTACTCCCTGAGGTTGCTTTCGTTACTAGCCCCTTTGTTCATCTGATTTTCTAGGACGTTACACCTTTACAAATTGTCTTGGCTAACACCGCCCTGCATTTGAAAGCCCTGCTGGACTTTGAAGATGACCAAGGGGGCAAATATGTTGCTGGAGATGAATGGTTGTTTGAAGGACCTGGTAAGTGGCAATTGTCAAGGAAGGAAACTTTTCTTGGGAGGTGAGATGTATGGTCGTCTATGTAGAATAGAATTCTTCATTGGCCAAGTGTGATTGGACACACAAGAAATTTGTCTCCGGTGCATAAGCTCTCACTATACATATAAGCAACAAATGATAAATCATGATTATAATCATAAAATACATTCATCATAAATCATAAGACACAACACTCGGTGATAGTCATAGGATACTAAATATGTGGCTGAAGTAGAGGTCCCAATAGCCCCAATTAGCATAGCCAGTGGTGAGGAATCCTGAATGCACTACTTCAGCCAAATGTGGGGAGCCATAGATTCCACATCCCTGGAGGACACATGCAGATCTTTGCAGAAGATTATGGCTTGACTTCCTAGCATCTTCAGCTGAAACAAACGGATATGAAGAAAGGTGAGGAATTCTGAGATTCCACCAAGCTGTTGCCAGTCAAATAGGCAAAACTGAGTCAGATCCAATTGTTTTCCAGGACTCCAGGAAACCTGGGGCCAAAATATTCCTCTGGATTTTCCCCTTTCTTGTCATTGCATCCTATATGGATGTAATTTTTTTCTTTATTTTTTATCCCAATTGAAATTAATGGCAAAAATGACAGCATTGGAAAAGGTCTAGGGCAGTGGTTCTCAACCTTTTTAATGCCGCGACCCCAACCGGTCGTAAGTCGAGGACTAAACCGGTCGTAAGTCGAGGACTAAACCGGTCGTAAGTCGAGGACTACCCAACCGGTCGTAAGTCAAGGACTTTCCCTGGCCGGGAGCGCCACGCATGTGTGGTTCCGCCCCCTGCGCCGGCCGAGGCGTAGCTGGCAAGCGGCAGAGACGGAGCAGGCCGACCACCAGCTGGCCCAGCCCAAGGGAGGTAAGGCACCCGCCGGAAAAGGGGGAAAATGGCGGACAAAAAAAAATGGCGGGCAGCCTTGCTTGGCGACCCCCATGAAATGGTTGATCGACCCCAAATGGGGTCCCGACCCACAGGTTGAGAACCACTGGTCTAGGGAATATGTTTTAAGTGAACAATTGTGGTATTAAAATGAAAACATGGATCCATCTGATTTTTCTTCCCCAAATACCACAGCATATTTTACAAGGACTTCCCCTCTATGCACGGAACCAGAAAAATAGCTTCCATCCCTTTTCTTCCTGTGTGTTGGCTTGACTTGACCTAGTCAGAAGCTCGCACTCCTTTCCCATCCCTACCATAATTGAGATGGAGCCTAGCTAGCTCATCTACTAAACCACTGTCATTTCTAGGCACCTACATCCCACAAAAAGAGGTTGAAATTGTGGAGACAATCCTGGCCACCATCATTCGTCCCAATCAAGCCATCAAACTTCAAGCATGGAAGGAATGCAGGGACAGAGAGGGGAACAAACGTGTGACAGGTATCTTTTTGGTTTCCTGCCCACGATCCTATGAGAGGACAGCTTTTGAGTATGTGTGTGTGTGTGTGTGTGTGTTTGTGTGTATCTTGAGTTTCCAATTTCTTTTTGCTACAGGTGAGGAATGGATGGTGAAGAAGGTTGGGGCTTACTTGCCAGGTGTATTTGAGGAAGTAGTTGACATTGTTGATGCTGTCATTCTGACTGAGAAAGTAGGTGCAGCTTTTAATGGTAGATGGTGATTATGGGAAAGAGGTTATTGATTTCACTTTTCGAGGTCTTTGTTGCAAAGCCCAG